GCGGGCCCCCCAAGGGCCTCCCAGCGCCCCGATTGGTTGGGATCCTCGATTTGGCTGGGCTCCGTAATTAGATTGGGATTGATGAAGCGCTCTACGCAATCGCCACCGCCCTCCCTCTCGGCGGGCTCTTTCATCAGCCCGACACTTCCGTCCCTGGCGCTCTTCTCTATGATGCTCTGCGCAGCGTCTTCGATTGGAGGCGCGGGGGGGGCCCTAGTTGGATCGGAGGCGCAGATCGGCGCGTTGCCGTCCAGCGTGCCGCTCTCCAGCGTGCTGCCATCCAGCGGGGTCTCATCAGGGCAGACGCGGTTGCTCGCCATGGTGCCGCGCCTCGCGATGCCGACTGGGTCGCAGAAGCCGATCAGGTCCTCTTCGACGACGGCCGCAGGGCAGTCCGCGGCCTCTGACTCCTGGATGCCCTCCTCCACGTCCTCCGTTGCGTCGCCGTCGCGCGCCTGCTCGTCGGCGCCGCTGACGCCATCGTCGTTCTTTCCATCGCAGTCGTCGTGCTCCTCCGCGACCTCCCTGTCTCCGACGCCCTCCGCAAAATCTTCCTGGGAAAAGAGCTCCGGGGATGCTGGCCTCGAGGGGGCGAGCGCGTTCGAGCAACTGTGCCGTTCGTCGGTCTGGCCGACGGAGTCCAGGTGCCAGAAGCAGCGGCAGCATCGCCAAGCAGCCGCCAGCGCCCCTGGCGGGCGCGGTGGTGGCTGAGGCGGCGGCGGGGCCGCGCTCGCCCGCCGCGGCAGCCGCGGCAGCGCCAGCGGCTGCCGCCGCAGCAGCAGCCGCCGGCTACAAAGCGGCGGCCCGAGCTACGGCCGCCGCGGCGGCGGAGGCAGCCCCGGCGCAGGCCGCCGCGACGGCCTCGGCAGCCGTGGCAGCGGCCAGGGCCGCGGGCCGGCCGCCCGCCCCAGCGGCCTGCCAGCGAAGGCCAGCATCGGGCGGCGCCGAGCTGGAAGGCGGCGCGGCACGGCCGGCAGCGCCGGCGGCGGCAGGACGGCCGGCCGGAAGGCCAAGCGGCGTGGCGCCACTCGCCGCGGCAGCGGAGTCAGCCGCCCCACGCGGCCCTGGCGTCGGGTTCCGAGCGGCAGGCCCGGCCGCGGCAGCGGCCCTGGCCGCGGCGGAGGAGACCGCCGAGGCAGCGGTGCCAGCGGCCAGCGGCCGTCGCTCGCGGCAGCTGGGACGCAGCGGCAGTGGCACAGGCCGCCTGGGCAGCGAGCCCGGGAAGAGACACCTCCGCCTTCGGGTGCTCAACAGAACACACAGACACAGACACAGACATAGACACACGGACACACAAACACACAGACACAGAGACACAAACTACACACAAACACACACACAGACACACGCAAACACACACAGACAGACACACTCACAGACACACACACACACAGACACAAACATACACACAGACACACTCAGACAGACACACAGACACACACACAGACACACACAGACACACACAGACACACAGATACACACACAGACACACATAGACACACGCACACAGACACACACAGACGCGCACACACAGACACACACCGACACACACAGACACACACAGACACACGCACACAGACTCACACACAGACACACACAGACACACACAGACACAGACGCACACAGGCACACACACAGACACACACAGACACGCAGAGACACAGACAGACACACACACACACACTCACACACACACACACACTCGCAGACACACGCAGACACACACGGACACACACAGACACACACACACACAGAGACACACACACAAACACACAGGCACGCACAGACACACACACACAGACACACAGAGACACACAGAGACACACACACAGGCACACACAGACACGCACACACAGACACACAGAGACACACAGAGACACACACAGACACACGCACACAGACACACACAGACACACACACAGACACAGACACAGACACACACACAGACACAGACACACGCACAGACACACACACAGACACACAGAGACACACGGAGACAAACACAGACACTCGCAGACACACGCAGACACACACGGACAAACCCAGACACACACACATAGACACACAGAGACACACACACAGGCACACAGACACACACAGACCCACGCAGAGACACACACGGACACACACAGACACAGACAGAGGCACATACACAGACATACGCACAGACACACACACAGGCACACAGAGACACATGTATACACAGAAGCACACAGATACAGTCAGAGACACAGAGACACACAGAGACACACATCCACACACATAGACAAACACAGACACACACACAGACACACAGTTACACAAACACAGACACACAGACACACACAGCCACACAGACACACACAGACACACTCAGACAGACAAAGACGCACACAGACACACACGCACAGACACAAACAGACACACATACACATAGACACACACACAGACACACATAGACACACACACAGACACACACAGACACGCACAGGGACACACAGAGACACACAGACACACACAGAGACACATACACAGACATACGCACAGACACACACAGACACACAGAGACAGAGATATACATAAACACACACAGAGAGACACACAAAGACACAGAGACACACAGAGACACAGAGACGCACGAATACACACAGAGACACACCGCCACACACAGGCACACACATAGACAAACCCACACACAGAGACACATACCCAGACATACGCACAGCCACACACAGACACACAGAGACACAGAGATACACAGAGACACACAGAGAGACACACATAGACACAGAGACCCACAGAGACACACACACGCAGACACACACATAGACACACACAGACACACATAGACACACACAGACACACACACTGACACACACAGACACACAAACAGAGACACAGAGACACGGAGACACAGAGAGACACACAGAGACACGGAGAAGCACACAGACACACAGAGACACACAGAGACACACAGAGACACACAGAGACACAGATACACACAGAGAGACACAGAGACACACAAAGACACATATATACACAGAGACACACAGAGACACGCAGACACAGAGACCAACAGAGACACTGCGACACAGAGACACGACACAGAGACAGCGAGACACGGAGACACAGTCACGCAGAGAGACACACGGAGATGCAGAGACACGGAGACACACAGACACACAAATACACAGATACCACACAGACACACAGACACTCAGGCACACGGACACACACACACACTCACGCTCACACACAACCCACACACTTTCACAAACACGCACACATTCACACCCACTTACCCACATTTACACACACGCACTCACTCACACACATTGAAACACACAGACACACACATACGCCTACACATACACATACACACATACATACAGACACACAGACACATATACACATACACACCTACACACCTACACACCTACACACATACATCAACACAAATACACACAACACGCATACAAACACACACACACACAAACACACAAACGCACACACACATTCACGCACACACACACACACTCACACACACTCACACGCAAAACACACAAATCCGCCGGCCCCCTTGTGGGGCCACCAGGCTGTAGGGCTAAGGTTCGCAGTTTCCTGTACCAGTTGCAGCTTCCAGTGTCCACTGTGACAGTTCTGCTTCTTGCTGCTTGCTGTTCCTTCTTGACTTCTTGCTGCTTACGGTTCCTTGTTGATGGACCGCGCGAGGGGGGGAGGCTCGAAACGGATTTTTTTTTACCACGCCCATATCGTATGCTCTGAATTGCTGGGGTGGGTAAAAATTAACACCCCGCACGCAGATCGGCGGGGTCAGGGTTCACAAACACATAGGATTTGCCGCATTTCTGAAATTTGATGGCACATCTCATGCAGATCGGCGGGGTCAGGGTCAAAAAACATATGGGATTTGCGACATTTGTGCAATTCGGCGGCACCCCTCACGCAGCTCGGCGGGGTCAGGGTCCAAAAACACATGGGATTTGCCACATGTCTGAAATCCGGTGGCGCCCCTCACGCAGATCGGCGGGGTCAGGGTCAAAAAACACAGGGTATTTGCACATTTTCTGACATTCGGTGGCACCCCTCACGCAGATCGGCGGGGTCAGGGTTCAAAAACACATGGGATTAGCCACGTGTCTGAAATCCGGTGGCACCCCTCACGCAGATCGGCGGGGTCAGGGTTCAAAAACACATGGGATTTGCAACATTTCTGAAATTCGCTGGCACCCCTCACGCAGATCGGCGGGGTCGGGGTTCAAAAACACATGGGATTTGCGACATGTTTGAAATTCGGCGGCACCCCTCACGCAGATCCGTAGGGTCTGGGTCCAAAGACATATGGGATTTGCCTCATTTAGGATTCGCTGGCACCCCTCACACAGATCGGCAGGGTCAGGGTTCAAAAACACTAGGGATTCGCCACATGTCTGAAATCCGGTGGCACCCCTCACGCAGATCGGCAGGGTCAGGGTCCAAAAACACAGGGGATTCGCAAATGGGTTCAAAAACATAAGGGATTTGCCACATTTGTGAAATTCGGTGGCACCCGTGACGCAGATCCGTAGGGTCAGGGTCGAAAAACGAACAGGTCCCGACACTGCTTCACGGCGAAGCAAAAGCTTCATGACTTCGCTCTTCCATGGCCCATCCTCCGAAAGAGGGGGCCAGCGGCAGGGGGCGAAGCCCTTACGGATAACACAACAGAGGCTTCCGCACAAAGGGTTCCAAACACACGCATAGGCTCGCTTCAAGCGCTCGCTGCTCCTGTTCTGTACCGCTTCCGCATCCTCCTCCCTCCCTCCCTGCATCTTCCTCCTCCCTCCTCCCTCCTCCTCCCTCCTCCCCCGCTTCTCGATCCTCGTCCGTGCCCACCTCCTCCTCCTCCTTCTTCTCCTCTTCCCGCCCTCCCTTCCTCCTTCGCCTCCTCCTTCTCCTCCTCCTCCTCCCCATCCCCCTTCCTACTCCTTCTGCCGCCGCTTCTCCTCCTCCTCGGGCACCCGCTGCTCCTCGTCCTTCGCGTCCAGGTGGACCGAGAACACGGCGGTGGCCCCGAGGTGCTCCAGCGCGCCCTGGGGCCTGCCTCTGAGGCAGGCCCCGACCACCTGCATTGGGCGGCAGCCTTCCCTGCTGCCGCTGCGGTTCCTTCCTCTTCTGCTGCTGCTCCGACCCTCCCCCTCCTGCTCGTCGCTCTTCCTCCTCCTCTCAGGCAACTGGGGCTCAGATCAGTTTGGCCTTCAGCTAAGGGCCTCTGCACTTTCGCGTAGTGCTTGATGGACTTCGGAGGGGGCCTCCCCAGACCGCCCGCCCGACGACTGAGACATAGGCAGATCACATTCCCTCCGCCAATGTCGCAGTTGTGGGCCAGGTGCGGCCAGGGCAGGACTTCCACATGTAATAACGTCATCATCACCATGAACAAGAGGAACTGTGGCAACTGCCAGAACACCCTCAAGTTGTTTAAGAGAAAGCCGTGCGACCAGGCTCGCGCCGATCTCCAGCGCGTCACGTGGGACCTCACCGTTGACGATGATGATGGCTTCTACGAGTGCGACGAGGCGTGGGCCCCTGATCTGGCCCAAGGAGGAGCTGACAAGAAGTCTCGCAATGTCTCCCCGTCTTCCAACAGTACGGCAGGCCTTCCAACGAGGCGCTCAGGCAAGGAAGGAATACATCAGTCCGAAGTGGCTACGTAGCTTGATGCTGAAGACGCTGAGGTCCACAAAGGACGCCCACCTCACCAAAATTCTCCAGTCTGAGATCAAACGCGTCGACGAAGGCGTCATCGGCGATCTCGGTCATCACTACACCCGTCGAGACACCGCGCAAGACACCGGCTTGCATGAGCAAGCTGTAACATCGGCGATTCGACTCTGCTCCAACCTGGCGGCCGCGGGGATGAGAAAGAGAGCACTGAGCAGCAAGGATGTAAACATTAGCTGATGAGATGGAACGCGCGGCCTTTCTGGCCTTGACAAAGGCCGAGGGAATTCATGGCGAGCACGACGAGGACCTGGAGCCCACTAGTGAGACGAAGCTCTTCAAGGTGGAGTGGGTCTAGGCATTTTCTACAATATTGACGATTTTGAAATCACGAATGAGGAAAGCGAGCCAGTGAACCTATTCCAGAAGCAACTGGAGGATGCCAAAGGCGACCTCGAGGGCAAAGAGAAGCAAGTGCGCGACTGGACGGCCCAGACACAAAAGCTGAGAAAGGAATGCGCGGAACGCCTGGCGAAGAAGCGGGATACCAATTTTAGGCAGTCCGCTCACGCCACCGCTGCGGGGGCAGAAGGCTCTGCTTCGGACGCCCCGACCGCGACGGCGGCCGATGGGCCGAAGCCTCAGGATGAGACGGCCACGGAGCAGGTGCGCTAGAAGGCCCTGGGCGAGGTCGCACAGCAGTTGTCGGCGGCCAAGTTCGAGATCCAGCAGTCCAGGGCCTTGGGCAGGGGTCAGGCTTGCTCGGCGTCGAAGGCTTGACATAAGGTTGAGGGCTCGTCCCAACCGCAGACTCCAATGAAGACGGACCCGTGACCAAGCTGCTCTACGCTAACGTGGCGGCTCTGACGGATAAGGTTTGGAAATCTATAGCGTTATAGATCGAGTCCTCCTTGGCATTCGAACCCTAACAGAGTTAATCAGGATCGTAAGCTCGAGTTGTCTGAGCACATAGTCGCCGCCCCAGAGCTAATTGAAGTGCAAACGTGGAGGACGTTCAATCAAATCGACCTCAAATTCCTACTCAATTCCGAAAATGAACGACACGACAAGGGGTACATGCTTACGGACGCGCCACAGGATGTGCCATGGGCGCAATAGGGGATGCGCCAGGGGACGTGTCAAGGGACGCATCAAGGGACGTGCCCTGGACGTGCCAAGGACCTGCCACGGGACGTGCCAAAGCGCGCGCCATGGGGCGGTCAGAAAACGTCATGCCAAAAGACGTTGCAAGGGGCCCGCCACGGAACGGACAAAGGAAACGCCTGGGGACGAGCAAGAAACCGCGACAGAGGACGACCCAGGGAGCGTGCCACGCCGAGTGGCGTGCTAGGGGACGTGCCAGGGCACGTCACGCCTGAGCGTCGCAAGGGACGCGCCAGGGGGCGCGCCAGGGCGCCAGGGGACGCCCCACGGACGGGCGGGGTTGGACTGCGACGCACTCTACTGCGACACGCGTTTCGCTCGAGACATCCTCAACCAATACTCATGTCAGACATACGCCTGGGCGACCTGGAGACGTGAAACCAAGCGTCGCGCTCGAGACGTCCTCAACATATCCTTATGCCAGACATCTGTCTGAGCGACCTGGGCACGTGAAACCAAGCGTTTCGCTCAACACATCCTCAATCCATCCTCATGCTAGATATCCGCCTGGGCGACCTGGACACGTGAAAACAAGCGTTTCGCTCAACACATCCTCAATCCATCCTCATGCTAGACATCCGCCTGGGCGACCTGGGCACGTGACACCAAGCGTTTGGCCTGAGACGTTCTCAGCACCTCCTCATGCTAGACATCCGCCTGGGCGACCTGGACACGTGAAAGCACGCGTCTCGCTCGAAGCATCCTCAAAACATCCGCCTGGCCAACCTGGGCACGTGAAAACACGCGTTTCGCTTGAGACCTTCTCGACACACCCTCATGTTAGACGTCTGCCTGGGCGACCTGGGCACGTGAAAACAAGCGTCTCCCTGGAGACATTCTCAACTAATCCTCATCTTAGACATCCGCCTGGGCGACCTGGACACGCGAAAACAAGCGTCTCTCTCGAAACATCCTCAAATAAATCCTCATGCTAGACATCCGCCTGGACGACATGGACGCGTGAAAACAAGCGTCTCGCTCGGGACATCCTCAACACATCCTGATGCTAGACATCTGCCTGGGCAACCTGGAGGCGTGAAACCAAGCGTCTCGCTCGAGACATCATCAAGACCTGGGCACGTGAAAACAAGCATTTCACCTTGGGCATCCTCTGAATTCTGGATCCCCGGCGATGAACAAACTATAGCACCAAACAAGCGTTTCGCTCGAGACATCCTCAACAAATTATGCAACACAAGCGTTTCGCTCGAGCCACCCACAACAAACGAACATGTTTACTTTACCGTATGTCGCATCGATCGAAATTTCAAGAACTAGCGTTTCGCTCGGGACATCCTCAATGTTCAATCCGCCGGCCCTCTTCGACCTCAATATATATCAGGGAAAGAATCCGCCGGCCCTCTTCGAACTTGGCACCGGGGGACAGGTTTACCTACTAAGTGCAAGAGAACCCTGGGCCTCTGCACTTTCCGAGGAAATAGATCAAAGCAAGTTGATAGATTACGTGCGGTCCAATTCTAATGCGATCTCTCTCGCTCGCAATATCCAGCAGGTGCGTGACGTTTCTAAAAAGCCTCATGTGGGGAACGGTTTAGCTTAGGAATTCTGACCTCCAGCTCCTCACGAGGGTTTTGGAGGTCCCTGGTAGGTTGCCTCAGCTCCCTAGGCCTCGCAAGGAGCCTACCGTGGGGTCCAAGAGTAGCCTCGCTAAGGTCACGACCGACATCGCTCGTAGGTTGGCGGCTGAGCAAAGAGCCACTGGTTCTGATGGTGTGTTCGGGGACTGTATGCAGTCTAAATGGCTTCGCTCTGGGGAGGAGGAGGAGGAGGAGGAGGAGGAGGAGGAGGAGGAGGAAACCATCGCGGCTCGCACTGGAACGTTTTGACGATGAGCTGGACCTAGATGAATAGCCAGACGAGACAGACTCCTGAACTGATGAGTTGCCCCTGCGTGATTCTTGATTCGGCGTTCAGTAATACCACCTCCCCCCTTGCGCCCCTGGTCCCTCGAGCGACGAGATCTCGCGACGGCGGTGCAGACGCCCTTCGCGAGGCTGTGACTTCTCAATCTCAACGTGTTCCTGCAACTCCCCCTCCAACTCGGTCCAGCCGCCCCCTCTGCCGTAGTGCCGAATTAGAAGCGATCTGCGCGGACAGACCCTTCAGGGGAATCCTGGAGACCCCGACCCATCGCCTTACTCAGGACTTGTGGAGCGAATGTCGGCGCCATGTGTGGTTCGTTCCTGGGTCTCAATGCTTAGAACATGTCCACTCCTCGTTGCTGGACTTCGTAGCCTTTAGGCTCGAACCCACACGCTCTACCAACTTATTAAACATGTGCGCAACATGTGTGGCGACCGCGGAGATTGCCGTCACCATGCATCACAGCGTATCGCGAGAAGGTTCGTGTCGAGGGCACGGGGCACACAGAGTCAAAACGGTGCAGGAGGCTTTCCATCGTCGGCAGCTCCACTTACGAGACTTGAAGGCGCAATGATGGACACGAGCTCACGCTGTCAGTTGAAGACGAATCGAGAAAACACATCACACTGATCGGTGATCAGCCAGACAAGCTTCATGCGGTATTGAGATCTGGTCGATATCCACAGTGGCGGTCGTGGCTTGATTTATTGAGCGACAAGGGGGGGCAGGCAAACGCCAAACGAGTGGCGCAGCGAGTCCAACGTCAAGCATGTCATTACCCTCAGAAAGGTTTCAAATAATGAATGGTGGTACCAACGGCTACAGGCGTCTTGCACAAGGCTCTCAAGCCTAGGCCCATGCATCCACCACGAATGCAGACCATGTCATGAGGAACGGTGGCGTGCCTCCCACGAGAGATCATGGACGAGACAATCAAGACTTTACAAACGTTATGGGCCCCGATGCTAGCGTCTCTCTCAACCGCGAAAGACATTCCCAAACAGATCCGCACAGTGGCCGTCGACGCACCGTTATCACCGATCAGCGCAGACATGGCCATCAGGGGAGCGGCCAAGATGAAGGCGACATCGGGATTGTGGGTCGACCAACTTCACCCCAATCGATTTCCAGCGACTCCCGCAAGCTGGACTGCAACTAACGATGTTGCCCACGGCCATCGAGAAAACCTTGGCGTGGGCAGTGCAGGCATCACATGCTATTGTGAAACTGATTGTAAAGAAATCTGGTGCTGATGTGGGCATTGGACTGGTTTCCTCGATAATCATATTGCGGTCTGTGATCAAAGAGGGCGACGTCTAGTGCTAATATAGTCAGAGTTCCGACCATTGGGAAA